CTTTTAAAGAGAAACCAGACCTGCCCATTTAAGGGGTCGTCGCAGATGGATAGATAGAAGGATAGATAGATAGATAGATAGATAGATAGATAGATAGATAGATAGATAGATAGATAGACATGCCACTTACTCTTTCCTCGCATGTCTGCTAAACTTGGCTGTTTAGTCCCCTGTTCCAGACACTTCATCACTGGAGCAAGGCATGTTACCTTGCAGAGATTACGGAGAATCAGATAGATAGATTGATAGATGGATGGATTAGATAGAGCAGTACTCTGAATATCCTTCCTTTCTACTGCTTTGATGCTATCCCTTTGATGTGTAGATTGCTACTCAAGGAATCTTCCTTTTTTTCTGGCTGACACCTTTTCTCCGCACATTCTTCTCCATCTTCATACTGTAAGGGCAATGTCTGCCTTATGCATAAGCAGACATTTTTCTGATCAGGGAGTGTTTTCTATGACAAATTAGCACAGCTTCCTCCAGACTTCCAATAGCCAAGGCACCCTTCAGCAACGTCTGCGTCCTGCTTCTGCATAACTCAAAAGTTTGAGCATGACGGCTGAATGGAAAGATGGTGCTCAGTTACTCATGTGGACACAATGGACAGTCACCTCCTCTGGATGGCCTCACAGGAAACTTTAGTTATATAACGTTTCTCTTGTGGGACCCCAGCTCCTTTCTCACAATTTAGAAATGTCCCCTGTCTCACTTCGGAAATTGGTGCAACTCCGTATTATGAGAGGGGTTGGCGTGATGTGGTCCATATTAACTATTTTATATTAATTAAATATATTAATATGGTGTATTAATGAATAAGTATGGGCACAAACTGGGAAAATGGTGGTTCGTGGCTCATCAGATCCCCAGAACAATGAACTTCCACAGACTTTTCAGTTTACTGAACCGGTTCGTGGTTTGTTGGGTTCATGATTTCTGGACACAGTAGACTACCCCTTCTGGTGGGTAGGGACTCCAAACTCACAGTGAGTCTTCAGCTGACTCTCCTCTGGACAGCAGGGATGAGGGGGCAGTCCTACCACCCCACAAAGAGTTACAAGTGCACACATTTCTGGTGCACTCTATCTACTCTGGTGGGTAGAGACTCCAAACTCACAGTAAGTCTTCAGCTGACAGTTTGGTGTAGCGGTTAAGTGCGCGGACTCTAATCTGGGAGAACCGGGTTTGATTCCCCACTCCTCCCCTTGCAGCTGCTGGATGACCTTGGACAAGCCGTAGTTCTGATAAGAGCTGTTCTTGAAAAAGAGCAGTTTCTGTCAAGAGCTCTCTCAGCCCCACCTTCCTCACAGGGTGTCTGTTGTGGGGAGGGGAAGGGAAAGGAGTTTGTAAGCCACTCTGAGACAACTTCGGGTAGTGAAGGGCGGGGTATAAATCCAATCTCCTCTTCTTTTCTTCTTCCTCTACCTGCCCTCCAAGTTTGGTGAAGATTGGATTTGGGGGGTGGGCGAGTTACAGCTCCCCAAAACAGGTGTCCGAAGAAAGTGCAGGTTCAGAAGTGTGTCAAATGGACCCCCTGCAAGCTAGAGTCCTCAAACTCACTGCTGACCTTCCAGGGATGCACCTATACCTGCCCTCCAAGTTCTGTGCAGATTGGCTTGGGGGAGTAGATCCTAGGGTCCAATGTGCAAAAGTGTGTGCAAACGCCACCGCCCCCCGCAAGGTAGAGGCATCAAACACAGTGGAACTCCTCAGGATGTCCCTCTACCTGCTATCCAAGTTGTGTGGAGATTGGCTTTGGATTTCACTCATCTCCAGACAGCTGCCAAGTAAACACAGATGCGTGTGAGCCAGGAGTGTCCCTTCTGCTCCCATAGAGCAGAATGGGAGCTCTCTGGTTGGCAGCCAGAGCTGCCTGTCAAGCTTTGGGGGGCTAAGATTGGTGTTTCCAGTGCTGCAAATGCCCATCCCCTCGTTGCCTTGACAATTGATTCATCGGCACCAGCATGTCTGGCCAACAAACTGCTCTAATGAACCGAACGAACCACCGAAAAAAAACATGGTAGGTTGTAAGCGGGCCGCGAACAATGCAATTGTCTGAATCATGGTTCATGATCACGCAAACTGGCCCAGTTCATCATGAAATTCGGTTCGTATTTCGGTCCGTGCCCACCCCAGATACTATCAGAGGATCAAAACCAGCCCAGAGATGCTAATGTTTCTACAGTGCTGCGTGCATTTATTTATTTGAAATATTTTATCTCAATTTCTCCCCACACTAGTAACTCAAAAAAGCTTATGAAATAGAATGAACATGAAAGCACACTTTACAAAACTGCGCGCACCACAAAAGCCCTCTCACCCATCTTAATCTCAAGCAGCTAATGACTCACAAGAACCTTCCAGAATGATGATTGTTCTGTCAGCATGGCACACAGGGGCACAGGCCGCAAGACCTTTCCATGCGTGCCAAGGGCTTAAGCTTCCACCAACAGGCAGGATTTAAATTACTTGAAGAAATGGATGCTCGACCCAGGGAATATGCAGCTGGCTTAGACATTCCCAATTTCAAACTTTGGATGTTTGGTAATATTGCGCTTTAACTGTCTCGCATTCCACTGGGATATGGAGAATTTCAGGCTGGGAGTATCTGTGGGCCTTGAGAGGGAACACGAGACAGTATCACCAGCAATTCAATTCCCCCTCTCACCCTAATTTAAAATAGGAACACCGTAGTATTTCCCTCAGGCTTGTGCTCTAAGGAATATATATATTATTTTATATTAATTAAATATATTAAAATGGTGTGTATATATAAACACTTCTCCAAAAAGCAACCTGGAGGTGAACAAGAATTCTTGGCCTGACTCTATCCTGGTCCGAGGTGAAGCTTGAAAGTAATGCTTGGTAGGTTTCATGCCTATTATTCTCAACCCATTTAGGATCAGTTTTCAGGCCTTTGGTCCAGCTGGTCTCTGCCCTTTGGCCCTTTCTGATTCCCGCGTAGCTCAGGACAAGCCACCTCTCCAAGAGCCCGGGCTACTTGCTGGTGTTTGCATCTTTCTTAGGCGAAAAAAACTGGATGGTATCAGCTGCAAGTGGTAAGGAATGTAACCACTCTGGAATCACCATATTGATCACGTTGCTCTGAAAAACAAGCAACAAACAGGACCACGTTGTATAATAGCCAGTAAAACAGTAAATCACCATGTACAATTAAACAACATTTGTTAGTTTTTATATGCAACATGTAAAATTCAATTATTAACAAGCTTGACCAATAATTGAATTCTACACATTGCATATAAAAACAAACAAAGGCCCCGGTCACACGGGCAGGAAACTGCAGAGGAGAAGCGTGGCTGTTTGCCCTGGGGCAAACTACTGCGCAGTTACGTGATCAGACCTCCTGTGGAGGTTCTGTGGAGGTACCGTGGAGGTTCCATGGCAAGGGAGAGGTGCCGATCACAGGACAAGCCGGCGCGCAACGAAGAAGCGCGCGCCGCGGCAAACTGTCTTTTATTTTTGTGTACATGACCAATGCGCATGCTTCGGTGGGTGCGCATGCGCATCCACAGAGACTTGGACAAAAAAAAACCACCTTATTTGCAAGGGGACATGGGCGGGCGCCGGATGCCACCGGAAACGCGATCAGACGCCCGCCCTTGCCCCGGAGTTTCCGGAAACTAGTACCTCCAAGGTACTAGTTTTTTGCCACGCAGTTTTGGCTGGAAGCCTCGGTTGAGCCACGGGAGTGCTACGCTTCCCAGATGTGCTGGTGAGATCGCGCCCGGAAACTCCGTCTGTTTTCCGTCTCCCTTGTGTGGCTTCTGTTACGTGTGACCGCGGCCAAAGATTGTTTAATTGTACACAGTGATTTACTGTTTTACTGGGTGAAAAACAAGCAAGCAACGAAACATAACTTCCCGCACCCCTCTCAACTGTCTTGGAGCTAGGGTGGTCAGCAAACGTCTGACGATTTGGGGGGAGTCCTGGGGGAAAGAGGGTTCTGGGAAGGGAGGGGCTTCAGCTGCGTATGATGTCATAGAGTTTGCCCTCCAAGGCAGCCATATAGTCTAGGAAAACTGATCTCTGTTGTCCGGAGATCTGTTGTAATTTCAAGAACAATCCAGGCCACACCTGGAGGTTGAGCAAATGTGGGAAAACACCATGTTAAATCAAAACACACAATTCTGATATGCTATTCTGCCTTCGTACCTTCGTTTAAATCATCTACTTAAATATAAAATAAAGACCCTAGTGTACCTTATTAATCATAGTACACTGATAACAGAAACCTAAAGAAAAATATATATCTTGTAGAAATGTCCACAGCTACAGAGACCAATACGCAGACAGGATTCCACGATGTAGGCCGGGGTGTCAAACATGCGGCCCAGGGGCTGGATTAGGTCCCCAGAGGACTTTTATCAGGCCCGCAGTGCAACTGGCTGTCTTCTGCTTCTTCTTCCAGTTCTGCTGCTGCTGCTTCATCATAGGTTTGCAGCTTACAGATACACACCTGAACAGCATACTCAAGATTGCAACGGCACAGACATTTTGATGCAATAATTCAGAGCAAGAGGCATCAGTCATCAGACACTGTTCAATAAACAAAATATTGCAAGAGTGCTGATGTTTTAAGCATGTTTTTATTTTAAGTAAAAAAAAAACCCCTTTGTGTTTGTGTCTTTTATAAAGTTTATATCACCGCTACCTGGCATTACGTTTTATGACACGTATGGCCCGGCCCAACAAGGTCTCATTTATGTCAGATCCGGTCCTTGTAACAAATGAGTTCAACACCCCTGCTGTAGACTATCTGATGAAAGCAAGTTGTTTGACTTGTACATTGTAGCATTGTGAGCTTTGGTTCCAGGGGGGAAAAAATCCCTAAAGAAGAATTTCTCGAAACACGCAATTTTTGCCTAGGAGGCGTGTTGCTTTGGTGCTTGCTGTATCTCTTTCCAGAAAGCAAAACAGACTGCAACATCGGCATTCATGACTGCTGCATCTCCCATCAGTCTCTCATCAGAAAGCAAGATAGTCTACAGTATGGAATCCTGTCTGTATATTTGTCTCTGTAGCAGTGGAGTTTTCTACAAGATGTATATTGTTCTTTTGGCTTTTGTTATCAGTGTACTCTAATAAGATACACAAGGGCCTTTATTTTATATTTAAGTATATGATTTAAACGAATATATGAAGACATAGTAGCATATCAAAATCGTGTGTTTTGTTTTAATACAGTGTTTCCACATTTGTTCAGCCTTGCCATGTTTCCTGTGTGTTTGTTGCCACACTTGGAGGCTGGCGACTCTTAGCTGTAGCGGGTCAGAGCAGCCAACGACCCATAGGATTTGGCGTATGCGTTGAGTTCTGTGATTCTGTGTTGACTTCTGTTTACCCTTCTGGTAAAATTTTAAGAATTCACTACTGAGGTGTATCTGGATATAAGCAGAACAGCTACTTCCAGGGGTGCTAGTGCAGGAGGGACACTGGTGTTTAGACATAGCTTCCATTCACTCCTGCTCCACTGGCAACCACTACTTCGAGAGGGAAGCATTTTGCCCCCCTGCGTAGGTCTAGTCTTACAAGAGTTAAAGGTAAAGGTTTCCCTTGCTCGAAAGCCAGTCAAATCTGACTCTAGGGGGCGGTGCTCATCTCCGTTTCCAAGCCGAAGAGCCAGCGCTGTCCGAAGACATTTCCTTGGTCATGTGGCCAGCATGACTAAACATCAAGGCGCACGGAACGCTGTTACCTTCCCACCGAAGCAGTACCTATTTTTCTACTTACAATTCCTTGCTTTCGAACTGCTAGGTTGTGGCCATATAATGCCCTCTTAGTTTGGCATTACTGAGAGACTATATTACTCGAGACCGTACTGTTGATTTCTTCACTAGAACGTCACTTTAGAAATAAGTGAAGCAGTACACATTACCATCTAACAGGGGTAGGACATGAGTCCATGAAACGTTGAACTGCTGGACTGTGGCACCACAGAGAGCCCCTTCAACCACCCATTCAGGCGCCAGACAGTTTAGTATAAGATTCAGGGGTCCTTTTGTAGAAAAAGAGGTCCAGGGGCTCATTTACATAACTCATTTGCATATGCCACACCCCCTGACAAAGGGCAGACATGCCTGGGTTCCCTACCTGATCTTCTCTAGGTGCTCCGCAGCTGCGGGGCACCCGGAGAAATCGGGAAGGAAACCCAGGCACGTTTAAAATGTTTTAAAAGATGAGGAAGGGAAAGAAAGGCATTTAAATCCCCCCCTTCCCCGAGTTTCTCCAGAAAAGCAGAGAGGCTCAGGGAAGAAAGGAGGCATGTCTGCCTGCCTTCCCCAGTCAACCCAATGCCTGGGCAACTCCCGGAATGGCATTCCGGATCGTTCCTCCTCGAAATGTCCCCTGGATATAGTGATGTGATCAATACATGAATGCGGTAGGATGAGCCACGTGGGTGAGACTTCCTTCCTACCCATTGGGCTTACCTGGATAGCATGGCTGAGACAGCCGCGGGTTCTGTTGGTGAGCCCCACCGTGTTCAAAGCCTGCCGCACAAAGTCCTTTGCTGGTATCTTGAGGAATTTGTCGACGTCGACGGTCATGCTGGATTCAACAAAAAAGGGCAGGACGCTCTGCGGAGGGAGAGGGTGTTAGGGGTACGATCGGCGGGGAGGCAGCCATACGCAAACCTAGGCCTGCAGTCCCTTGATTACAGGAGTTTAGCAAGCATAAGAACACAAGAGACGTTGGATCAGGCCAAAGGCCCATCCAGTCCAACACTCTGTATCACACAGTGGCCAAAAATACCAGGTGCCATCAGGAGGTCCAGCAGTGGGGCCAGGACATTAGAAGCCCTCCCACGGTTGACCCCCCCCAAGCACCAAGAAGACAGAGCATCCCTTGCCCCAGAGCCCCTATCTAGACCTTGTGGCTAATAGCCACTGATGGACCTCTGCTCCATATGCTTATCTAATTCCCTTTTGAAGCCGTCCATGCTTGTAGCCACCAATGTTCCCTCTAAGCTGTGGAGTCTTGTGAGCAAAAATTCTACTTTGTGAGCTACTGGCATTAAAGCTGTGAGCGAGCGAGTTGGTTGCTGCATAAATCCGTTTGCTCTGCAGCCATCCTTCCTGAGCTAAGACAGAAATGTGTGAGCCGGAGGCTAAAAAACTATGAGCTAGCTCACACTAACTCAGCTTACAGGGAACACTGGTAGCCACCACTAGTTCCTGTGGCAGTGAATTTCATGTGTTAATCACTCTTTGGGTGAAGAAGTACTTCCTTTTATCCATTCTAACCAAACGGATATGTTAGATACCCTGGTAAATGATACTGCTCTGTTGATTAGGGAAGGACAGGTCCAGTCAAGATAACAGCGCATGAAATCCATAATGTTAAAGTAGGTACCCCCAGAAAACAACCCCTTTGTTTCTTGCCTGTGGAGGGATAGAATTTACTCATTTCTACCTGATAAATCTTCATTAGGAACAGGCCTTGTAAGGACTGCTGAGGCAGCTGACAATTTAAAACATATGTGAGAAAATATAAAAGCCTTAAAATAAAAGCCCCTTCCAAACATACTTCACTAAAACAACTGTAAAAAGAGTTTAAAGACCGGGGTAAAATACACACATCAGGTAGCAACGAGGATTAGAATTTCAACAGCCAATCCATATGCAAAAGAACCTCCTCAGGAAAGCTCCTCCATTAGCATGTTCAAAGCCTCGGGAACTCCTACAAGATAATGACTCCGCCCTACCCCACCTTCCTGAGCAGATATAAATTACCTGCCTACCATTTTTCTTCTCACCTTGACACAGAGAGTACTCCGTCTTTCTGTGTTACACCTCTGAGGATGCCAGTCATAGCTAACGTCAGGTCCTACAGTGCCAAGACCACGGCCATACAGCCCGGAAAATCCACAACAACTAATAAAATCAAGTTTGTCTGTATCAATTCTTCGCCTGCGGACCCTCTATGCTGCTGGGACCCAACAGTCCCCACTTCCCAAGTAACTTCCAGGAGGAATGTGATTCTCAATTTGGAGGAGGAGGTCGGGTTGTAGGTCATTAAACAGAGATGTCTCAACTCTGGATGCAGCAAAAAAATAATAATTTTAGAAGCGCAGGGGAACGGGGTAACAAAGACGAAAAGGCAAACTCCTCATTGGGGTCTAGTACCTTGAGACCTGGATTAACTGAGCAAAATTCAATGTTCCCCAGCGTGGAAACTAATGCTCATGGGGCCTGTTTTACCAGGGTATCTAACATAAACCATACTGCCTTTTTATTCCTTGGGACAGGATAATAAGACGTGATACCTGAATAATGATGCCTTTGGATCTGTATTCGATTTCTAAAGCGTGTGAGAAGTAATCAACAAATGCCTGCCATGGAAGCAAGAAAAAGGAGTTAAGCAGGGGGTTATAGGTCCGACAGCAATCAGGATGGAAATGTTGGGATCTCCTGTTACAAATAGAGCTGTGGGAGATTATGTTCAACCTCTTAAGGCTCCTAAAGGAGGCTGAAAGGCCTTGAACTGGTACTGAGATAGGAAGAAATTTCAGACCACTTCTTCTTCCCTTTTTGGCCTATTATGCATGGGTGTTTTCCCTCGCTTTCACCATGCATGTCCGTCGGCTTTTCTTTTTCGTTCTGTATTTTCCCACACTTTCACCATGCATGTCAACAGGGGTTGCACTTACCTCCTGTAACTGTTGTCCATCGAGTGGTCTTCTGTGCAGGCACACATGGGACTGCAGTTCTGCAGGCCTGCCACAGAGAGGCACTAGTGAGCTAATTTCAGAAAGTTCTAGGCTCCCAGGACTGCTCTCCTCTAGAGAGCCAGTCTCGTGTAGTGGTTAGGAGCGTGGACTCTAATCTGGGAGAACCAGGTTTGATTCCCCACTCCTCCACATGCAGCTGCTGGTGTGACCTTGGGTCAGTTACAAGTTCTCTCAGAGCTGTTCTTTCAGGAGCAGTTTTCAAAAGAGCTGTCTCAGCCCCACCTACCTCACAAGGTGTCTGTTGTGGGAAGGGGGAGGGAAAGGAGATTGTAAGCCTCTCTGGGACTCCTTCGGGTAGTGAAGCAAGAAAAAGGAGTTAAGCAGGGGGTTATAGGTCTGACTTGAGGTCGGATGCCGCCCTGGAGCATTGAAGTGTTGTGCCCTTCACCAAGGCACAGCAAACAAGCTGAGTGCTCATCGTTTTAGACTAATTTGGCACCACGGTCCGAACAGTGGCCATAATACCCTCGGGTGGATGTCTTTCTCCTCAGAAGTTCAGCGTCTTAACCACTTGATACATATATAAATATATCAATACATATATAAATGTATCTAGTCAGATTTTCTAAACTGTCAGAAAGTCTGTCAGAATAGGCCTTAGAAGACTCAGCTTGCTGAGAACGTCCTCTCTTCACGGCAGCAAAAAGAGAAGAAGGAGAAGAGATTGGATTTATACCCCGTCCTTCACTACCCAAGGCAGTCTCAGAGCGGCTTAGAAACTCCTTTCCCTTCCCCTCACCACAACAGACACCCTGTAGGGTAGGTGGGGCTGAGAGAGCTCTTTCAAGAGCAGCTCTGACAGAACTATGGCTTGCCCAAGGTCATCCAGCAGGTGCAAGGGAAGGAGTGGGGAATCAAACCTGGTTCTCCCAGATTAGAGTCCGTGCACTTAACCACTACACCAAACTGAGGAAGGAGAAATCCCATGCACTAATCATGTGACCTTTGGGCAGGAAATCTTCACGGGCTCCTGGGAGCCTAGAACTTTCTGGAATTAGCTTGCTAGCTCCTCTCTGTGGCAGGCCTGCAGTCCCATTTGGAACTGCACAGAAGCCTCGAAGATTAACGTCGGGTTTTCTTTTTCCTTCTGCATTTATTTTCCTCCCTTCAGTTCTCAGTTCACTTTCCAGTTGCTGTTTCCCTGGGTTTCCTGAGAGTGGTTTTGTGGTGGTTTTTCCCCCTTGCTTTGCTTCCAAGCCAAAGGTAATTCAAAAGCATACAGATTCCCTTGGGTTTCACCCCCTTTTCCTGCCCTCCGGAGGCCACCCACACTGATGTCATTCCTCCCACTCTTTTTTTTGCCATTAACATTTTTATTTTATATAAAGCAAATACAGAACAATAACAATAACAGTCATTCCAATCAACAATATGTTCCTCCCACTCTTCACTGTCCGCCCCCCATCGGTGTACAAGCCCCACTGTTGCTTAGGTTTTCCATCTTTTTTTTACTTTGTTTTAAGAAGCAGGTCGAGTCTAGCAATATGAGTTTATTGCTAATCTTGGATCGCTGGAGAGAGAACAAATCATTGGCAGGGAATGCTTTAAAAGTTTGGTGAGAGGTCGTATGTACGTGTGTTGTTAAAAGTTTTAAAAGATGCATGCCCTCAGGAGGAGACGACGAATACCTGGCCACAGAGGCAGTGGTGGGTGCATCACAAAGGAAGGAAAGGAGCGAGTGAGCAGTTGGGCATGCGCTGCACTGGCAGCAACCCCCTACCCAACATGCGGATAACCACCCAAGGCTGTCCCCCTTGCCAGCCCTACAGCAGGACTCTGGTGACTTGGTAGCCACCCACCCTTGGGCTGGGCTCCCACGTGACGCTGGTGACCACCAGATGGAGCTTTCCAGAGCTGCTGCAGGCAAGCAAGTTTGCTAGTGAAGCAGAAGGAGACTCGGGGCTGGGACACAGAGCGAGTCACATCCAGTGTTCCTTCTAAGCTGAGTTAGTGTGAGCTAGCTCACAGTTTTTTTAGCCTCCGGCTCACACATTTCTGTCTCAGCTCAGGAAGGATGGCTCGAGAGCAAACTGATTTATGCAGTAGCCAAATCGCTGGCTCACAGCTTTAATGCCAGTAGCTCACAACGTCAAATCCTTGCTCACAAGACTCCACAGCTTAGAGGGAGCGTTGTGTGTTCCAGCCCCCAGCGGCCTCCTGCTTCTCTGGTGAACACACCTGGCTGCAGCGGCTCTGGAAAACTCCCCCCCCGCCCAGCCACCAATGTCAAATACGAGCCTAGTCCAAGGGTGGGGGGGGGAGAGGTGCGGCGTGCAGGCACAGCATTTGAAGTAAATCCCTACCCACTTGACTTCCGTGAAAATCGAAAGTAAGCCGTGCGTGCCTAATAGGCCTTTGTCTCCTAAAGGCTGAGATTCCCCAATGATAGGTTGGGGGGGGGACAATTAGGGTTTCCAGTTTCTGGAGATTTGGGGGTGGGCTTTCAGAAGGGCGGGGTTTGGGGAGGGGAGGGACCTCAGAGGAGTACAGTGCTAAAGAGCCCACCCTCCAAATTAGCCATTCCTCCAGGCCAACGGACCTCCTCCAAGCCAACAGAGATCAGTCGTAATTCATGGAGACCTCCAGGCCCCACCTGGAGGGTGGCAACGTTATGACAGCAAGAACCAAACAGTGGAAAGGGGGGGGACTTGCCCAGTGGCTTTTTCTGCCTTATCGGGATGATTTCAAGCCCTTCTGAGCTTTCTTTGCCGAATGGGCAAGTACTTCCGGAACAGGCAGAACAAGATATCTTCTCCTACTTCCAGTTTGGTGTGGTGGTTAACTGCGTGGACTCTAATCTGGGAGAACCGGGTTTGATTCCCCACTCCTTCACTTGCACCTGGCTGGATGACCTTGGGCAAGCCATAGTTCTGATAAGAGCTGTTCTTGAAAAAAGAGCAGTTTCTGTCAGAGCTCTCTCAGCCCCACCTACCTCACAGAGTGTCTGTTGTGGGGAGGGGAAGGGAAAGGAGTTTGTAAGCCACTCTGAGACCCCTTTGGGTGGTGAAGGGCGGGGTTTGGGGTTTTTTTAAAACAGATACAGAGAGCCAGTTTGGTATAGTGGTTAGGAGCACGGACTCTAATCTGGGAGAACCGGAATTGATTCCCCATTCCTCCATGTGCAGATGCTGGTGTGACCTTGGGTCAGTCACAAGTTCTCTCAGAACTGTTCTGGAAAGAGCAGTCCTTGAGAGAGCTTTCTCAGCCCCAACATACCTCACGGGGTGTCTGTTGTGGGGAGTGGAAGGGAAAGGAGTTTGTAAGCCACTCTGAGACTTCCTTTGGGTGGTGAAGGGCGGGGTTTACGTTGCTATTTTCTCCTGTTTTGGGGGATTCAAAAGTATCTTCTTGTTTTACTTAGATGTAGCCGGTGTTCCTTACCTTAGTTGCGGAGTACAGCAATAGAAGTGGCATTGGACGCCAGCCACTGATGGATGACAGGTTGATGACAATTCCTTTCTTCCTGTAGAGAGAGCCGTCAGGATGAGGTAGGAACATGGTACAGCGACACCTCCCCCTCCCCACAGGTAGCTGATATAAAATCTATATTTTTAGAAGATAAATGTTTACTCTGGGGATGCTCACATGGTTTCTTCATATACCCATCCCTACTGGGCAGGGAACTCCCTTCTCTGGTTTTTTTCCGGCGTTTATTCAGGAAAATGGCAATTTGATAACATAAACATGTGGTCTGTCTGAGTGTATGCAAAAGTTCAGCACTGGATTTGGTAACAGAAATTATTTCACCTCTCCCCCCTCATTAATATCAGCCTAAGGGAAGAGGACTGTGTAGTGTTTAAGTGCATGGTTTGATTCCCCACTCCTCCACTTGCAGCTGCTGTGTGATCTTGGGTCAGTCACAAGTTCCCTGAGAGCTGTTCTCTCAAGGGCAGTTCTCAAGAGAGCTCTCTCAGCCCCACCTGCCTCACAGGGTGTCTGTTGTGGGGAGGGGAAGGGAAAGTGGAATTGTAAGCCGCTCTGAGACGCCAAGTGAAATGCAGGGTAGAAATCCAGTCTCTTCTTTTATTTCCTTCCATTTTATTTATTTCCATCATTTATGCCCCCCCCCATTCTCCGCAGTGGGGATCCAAAGCATCTTAAATCGTTCTCATCTCCCCTATTGTATTGTCACAAGATGAATTGGAGAAGATGATCAGAGAACCGGTTTTAAATACGTTGTGACAGAAAATTCCAGCAGAGATTACAGTGGCAGTGGCTAATTTTTTAGTCAATGTGATAAGAGTGAAAAATTTGGGAAACTCCGTTTCATGATTTTATAATTATTTCGGTTTTTTAGTTGACTGTTTCATCTTCTGTTTCTGAATTTAATGCTGTATATGCTATTAAAGGTTTATTTATTGATTGATTGATTGATTGATTGACAGAAAATTCTTGGATTTGGACTGGCTAGAAAACAGGCTAGATCTTTACCTTCACCAGCTGATAGCAAGTAATCATAAGAGGTTATTTTTGTGAATGGAGGGGGAAGGCGGTTGAGTTCCTTATTAGGGACCTGGGACTTGGACCTCTAACCTCCTCATTTTTGGGCACAGAGGGGTTTATGTTACCATAAGGACAGGATTTGACATTCACTAGTAAAAGGTAAAGGTTCTCCTTGCTCGAAAGCCAGTCGAATCCGACCTAGGGGGCGGTGCTCATCTCTGCTTCCAAGCTGAAGGGCCAGCACTGTCCGAAGACTTTTCCGTGTTCATGTGGCCGGCATGAGTAAATGCCGAGACGCATGGGATGCTGTTCCCTTCCCACCGCAGCGGTGCCTATTTATCTACTTGCCATTTCTTGCTTTCGAACTGCTAGGTTGGCAGGAGCCGGGGTTAGAGACGGGAGCTCACTCCATCGTGCGGCACTCCCGTCTCGAACTGCTGAGCTACAGACCTGCCGGTCTGCAGCTGAATGTCTTTTTAAAAAAATATTTTTAATTGGGTTTTCACAATATTGTATATTCACCAACATATATTGAAACAAGTATAATTATTCCTTGTACTTCAATTACATTTTACAAGACAACATATCTGCCGAACTACCTAATTCTCCCCTCTATTTCACCCTCAAAGAGCTTTCAGTTGCACACATCCAATAATAATATCTTTTAAACTTCCCTTTTCCTCATCTCTATAAACCTTATTTCAGATCTATTCCCTTAGGATCAGGTACTAGCTAAATTTCCCTTAATTCCCTCATTCACACAGTTTTCTTATTATTACAGCATATTTCAAAATTATCTACCTTGTAGACCATCTACAATAGTTATGAGTACATTTACTATGGTCATTTACTTGGGTCAATATACTTTCCATTTCCTAAAGTTCTATTAATAATTTATCACTATTTTGCCTTATTCACTTTAACCTCATTATTTCTCCCCATAGCTTCCAGAAGTACATAAGAAACTATCAGAAACCAAAAAATACATTAAGAACATATCCAAAATAATTTAAACAAACATTTTTACCCTATTCCAATTATTTCATTTCATCACCTTTACGTTCATAACTTTTCACACTTATACTCTTTTAAATAGACATCCATTCATTCTAGTTTGTTTTCTCATAAATCATAATTACCCCCATACACAAATCATTCCATTATGCATTCATTATTCATGGTTCATTCCCTTATTAACCATCATTACCTATAAATAAATCATTTCCATACCCTTAAATTTATACCCTTTCATTATTACCTATACTCTAAAACAGATAATACATATTTCTCTCTAACATACAT